TTCTTCTGGCCTGAGCTTTGCTACACAGCTTGAGTAGCATGACTCCCACCAATGATGTCTGCAAATTAGTCTGAAATGACTAAAAAAAAAAAATAGATGTATTGATCAGTGGATGGAGGATAAAGAGGTGAATAGATATGTGATAAAGTATACATAGCAAAATGTTAAGGGGTAGAATCTAGGTGGTGGGTATATGAGTACTCACTATAAAAGCTTTTAACTTTCTGGTATGTTTGAAAATTTCCATTATGAAATGTAGGAATGGAGAAGAATGTCAATGATATAAACTTGTATTAGGAAATTTATTAAATAACAATACATTCATATAACATAATTAAATACAGTGCAACAATAAAAAACAAATTTTGTTGCTTCAAGGATGTGTGAGAAGGATGAAGTAGAGATGCTTCTGCTTTGTGTGTGTATGTGTGTGTGTGTAATTTATTTCTAGTTTCATACCACTCTGGTCTGAGAAGCTGCTTGATACAATTTCAATCTTTTTGAATTTGAGGCTCTTTTTTGTGGCCTAGTATGTGATCTATTCTGGAAAACATTTTATGTACACTTGAGAAGAATGTGTATCCTGCTACTTTTGGGTGGAATGTTCTGTAGATATCTTTAAGTCCATCTTTTCTAATGTATTGTTCAGTGCCTCTGTTTCCTTACTTATTTTCTGTCTGGTCGATCTGTCTACTGATGTGAGTGGTGTGTTAAAGTCTCCTAATATGAATGTACTGCAGTCTATTTTCCCCTTTAATTCTATTAGGATTTATTTTACATATTTAGGTGCTTCTATATTGGGTGCATAGATATTTATAATGGTTATATCCTCTTGTTGGGCTTCTGCTTTTTATAATTTACATAGAATTATATAGAATTAGTAAAAATATATAGAAATGATATAGAGTTAATAGAATTATTGAAAATTCTATTTTCTTTCTAAGTGTTTATATTACTTGGATAAAAATATAGAGGGAGAATTACAGAAAATTTTCAAAATAAAAGACAATTGATTTTTTTTGTTTGGGAAGCAGTTATATTTACCTAATGTTTATCTAATCAGGTAATCTACTTGATTCTGCAAACTGATTACTATTCCAAAATATAACCAGGTTTGTTTAGAGTTAGGGAAGACTGGACACTATTTTGATAGTGATGGTATTAGTTATCTATTGCTGGGTAACAAAGTACCACAAACTTAGTGGCTTAAAACAAATGGATTTACTATCTCGCGGTTTCTGTGTCAGGAATGAGGCATCAGCTGGATCCTCTGCTTCAGTGTCTCTCATAAGGCTGCAAGCAAGGTGTCAGCTGGGGCTGGAGTTTCATCTGAAAGCTCAACTGTGGAAGCTTCACAGTTCACTCATGTGGTAGCTGGTAGGATTCAGTTCCTTTTGAGTTGTTGCAATGAGGGACTCAGTTCCTAGCTGGCTGTTGGCCAGAGGATTCCCTCAGTTCTTTGCCACACAAGCTTTCCTAAGACGGCAAATTGTTTCATCAAAGCCATCAGGGACAGAGTTTGCTAGCAAGACAGAAGTTACAATCTGATGTAATGCAATCACAGAAGTGACATTCATTATCTTTGCCATATTCAATTGGTTAGAAAAACATCATAATTCCCACCCACAGTCAAGGGGAGGAAATTACATGGGAGCATGAACACTAATCAGAGGGGATCATAGAGGGCATCTTAGAGTCTGTTTGCCACACTGTCTGTCTACTTGAGTCTACCAACCACATTCTAGGTATCATATGAACAGCAGAAACCAGGAATTCTGGTTGAAAATTCTTGATCCACAGAGAAAACCCTAGACTCTCAACAGAATGCTTAACTTTTTTCAGATTTCACACCAACAGAAAGAAAAGTTCCTTGAAGTAGAAAAAAATAATTCTGTAGGCAATCAGATGGTGCACTTTTAGGAGCTGTCACACAATCAATCACTAATATGTCAATGCTATCTCCTAAGTCTCTTTCAAACTCGCATCCTCCTCTCTATTTCCTCTGCTATTTCCTGGTTCAAGCCCTGTAAAGAACAGCCTCCTCACTCATCTTCATGCCTCCAGGCTTGTGTCTCTGCTATCTGCCCTCCCCCAGTTATAGGAGTGATTTTTCCAACATGCATTTCTGATCATATCCTAGGCTTGAAATCCGTCAGTGATTCCTTTTACCTTTGGAACAAGTTCTAAGGTTCTTGTTCATAATCTGGCTCCTACCCAACTGTCCATTCCCATCTCCCAGAATTCCCTGTTTTTGCAATTCAGGCTCTAGCAATATGCAGTCACCTACATTTTTCCAAGAAGCACAAAGCTTTTCAGGCTACCATGCCTTTGGTTATATTTTCCCTAAAGCCTAATATGCTTGTTCCTATTATGTACTGTTCAACTTTTAGTCAAAATGTCATTATGTAGTGGGTCAAAAGCTAGGTCCAGGTAAAGATGATGTTTGAACACATGCATGTAATTTTGCTCCTTCCAAAATTCCATTAAAGCCACCATTAAGGATTTTTTATTAGAAAGGCATAAATCAACAGGATGAGGAATCTACCAACTTTGCTGTAAGTATGTATGATGTAGAGACAGAGCAGAAATTCTGGTTGAACATTCCTAGTCCTTGGAGAAATTCCTAGACTCTGATAGATAAAAGTAACAAAATTGTGAAAGCTGGAAAACAGAGAGATAAGCAGTCACCGATAAAACAAATGTAAGACATTAAAATCCTGTCTTGGCAGTGGGGAAGCAAAGAGTTTCTAGAAGGGAGGAAGGGATATATCATATACAAAGGATTAAAATCTAAATGACCTTAGGCTTTTCAAGAGTAAGCCTAGAGGCCAGAAGACCAAGGAGCAATGCCTTCGAAAGTTTAAAGGAAAATTATTTCAAAACTAGAATTTTGTACCAAGCCAAATCAACAATTCATGTGAGAAGAAAAAATGATACCCAGATATGAAAGGTCTAAAAAAAATTTACCTCCTACTAATTGTTTTTAGGAAGCTGATGGAGGATGTGCTCCATCAAAACAAAGGAGTAGCTAGAAAGAAGGATGTGCAAGATATAAGGAGCAACATAGGCCAGCTGCAAAGGACTGAGGGTAAAGGGGATTGCAGGATGCCTTTGATTTACCTCAGATAGGAGCAGGTCAGAGGCTTCAGAAAGACTCCCTGAAAGGAGATTTAGAGTTGAGTTAGTGGTAAGCATAGAAAAAACTAAGGCATCAAGCAAACAAAGGGTGATTATTAATTATTAATTCCATGGAAAACAAAAGTTATTCAAGAAAGTAAAGTGATATTAGGTCACCACACACCACATTGTAAACTGTGTTTGTATAGTGTCTGCTCTGGGACAGAACCGTTTTGCATAATGCTCACAATTCACAATCTCTAGGAAGAAATCTGTGGTGTCCTGAAAATCTTGTACTTCAAAGAGAAAAAACAACCTTTGATGTGATTAAGACTTAATCGGGACACTGGCTCCCAGACACCAGTGGTCATGAGCAGTTTCCATGGGCCCCTGACCCAAAGAGTGAGCCCCCACAGTGTCTGTACCTTGAGCACAAGTGTAATTGCCTGCCATCCCCAACTAAATTTTATGATCTCACAGTTCCTGAGGGCAGACTCTGATATGGTGCCTCTTATAGGGCTGAGCACATAGCAGTTGTTCAAAAAAGCTCTGCTTGACATAACTGTTCCAGAATGACATTCTGTAAAGTGCTGATATCATACCTTTGATAGGATGGGATATTAATTACTTTTATGGAATACAACCTTAATTAACTAGTTTACCAGGATAGTGCATGGTCAGGGTCTTTGAGGGCAGCTCCAACTGATGAGTCACCATCTCATGGTTTCGCTCTTGAGGGACCCAAACAAGGGGATAGTTTAGCTGAGCTGGGGGAGGCTGGGTGTAGGAAGAGATTCTGTGGTCCAGGAAAGGAGGAGGTAAACTTAGATGGCAGGGAGACTGTCCTTGGGTTAAGATAATGCCACCCTGCAGGTAGGGCCCGCCACTCTCTTAGTCTTTTTCTCATCAAAAGTTCTCAATTAAAAATTTAAATTATGATGTTGCTCCGGGAGGAGGGGGTTCCCTTCTCCGGGCAAGTTCACTATGAATTCTATGAAACAGAATAATGACAATGGAGTGTTAGGGTTAAAAGGGGCTCATACCAAGGTTTATTCTCCCAGCGATCACCTGGCTATGTACAAGCGGCAAGCCTGTTTCCATCTCTGGCCCAACTACAGCCTCTGCTCTTCCCCCTTCCTAGCACCGGGGCTCTGTGGCTCCCCCTCCTGCTTCCTCTCTCCTCCACTCCCGCCGCTCCTCCCTTCCCGCCCCTACCACCAGGAGGAATTCTGCCGCAGGTCTCTATGGTGACTGCGGACACCCAGCCATCTGCGTCCAGGCGCTTGTGCGTTTCCTCTCCACCCCTCCCCTAGGCTGGTACTTCGCGGGCTGACAGTTCGCTCCTGGCGGCTCTATCACTGGTAGGCATCCTGCCGCACACGGGTATGAAGCAGGCTCTTTTAGGTATACAATGGGCAATATTAGAATCGGGGGAGTTGAAAATCCTGGGCATGAAACTTCTTTTTTCTCTACATATGATTTTTACCAAAGAAATCAATGATAGAATGGCCCGATAAAATACCATGTGCCCAGTTAAATCTGGATAAGCAACAAATAATTTTTAAATACAGATATGTTCCAAATAGGGCATGGGATTTATACTAAGAAATTTATTTGTCATTTATCTGGAATTCAAATTTAACTGGACTTCCTGTATTTTTATTTGCTAAATCTGGCAGTGTTAGTGAGGTATAGGATTCATTTAATGGAAATCTACATTACAGCTAACTTCAATGGAAATACCCTTAAAAAGACACAGCCTTTAATTTATCCACACACACAGCTGACTACAAAATGCAGAAAATAATTCTTCTTTTAATATGATTCATGTTATATTAATGGCTTTCAGGTCAAACTCAGATTCACAGCTACAAGCCCCATTAGCTAGTTTTATCTGTGTACTCATAGGGGCCTCCTGTGTGATGATTTGGGTTTGATCGAAGCATTAGAAGCCGTGTCTCTTGAAGTACTTGGCTCGTGCAAGGACATCATTGCAGAAGTCGCAGCTCAGGTCCTGGCTGCTTCTGATGTAACCAGCACCTCCCACGTAGGCACAGAGTCCACCTGGAATTTGTGAGATTGGTTAGTACTGACCCCACAGCCCATCACTGCTTCTGCATGCTCAGCAGTTAACTTAGATTCTCCTTCTTCATTACCTATCAAGAGGCAGCTGAGGTTTGGGGGAATCTGGTACAATGTATTTCTTCTGTCCCTGTTATTTCCATGTTGTGAAACCACTGCCGCTTGGGTTACACCTACCTCTCAGGCACTGGTCAGGGGACCAGGCTGGGAACTTCCTCTGGATTTCTTTGATTTTTACAGTCAGAACCTCAGTTATCTGGAAAATCTGGGACTCGCTGATCCAGGTTGTAGGAGCATAAAGGGCAGGCTCCTAGGGAGAGGGACACAGAGGACATGGCAGGTGAGGCAGGTGAGGGGTGATGTGGCTTCACAGGGTGAGCTTTGCCTTTTCATTTCTCTCCTTTTTCTCTCCACCTTTGCTGGAACCAGTGTCACCTCTAATCTCCCTGGGGATAAAAAGTAAGGCTACGAGCTTTGGGCAAAGGAAGGGACAGGCAGACATTTCACGGCTGCTTCCGTGTAATGGAGAGAGGTGGCGTCAGAAGTCAAAGGGGACAGAGGCAGCGTTAGGTACAAGCCTGATGCCCCCGCTTGGCACTGCACATGCAAACTCTTCAAACAGGTCACAAAGGAGTTTTCCGTCTGTACTTGTAGTTCTCCTTCCAAATAATCTGAATGCCTAAAGACACTTCTAACTTTTCCTATATACCTTTGGTATCTTGTAGATTCTCATCCCAGATAGGTTTCGCCATATTTGGGAGAAATGTCTGACTCTGGGGAGTTTTTTCTTCATCTTCAAAGGAGATAGACTCATCCTTTTCCCAAGAATGAGATTTCACAAAAGAGGCCAAACAGGGCAGCAAAAAATGATGCTGGTGCTCACATGGCCAGTGTTGTGCTTGTTCCCCATCCTGCGATTCCTGGCTGCAGTCTCCTCCTAAATGCACTTCCTCTCTTGTAAAGGATGGATTACATCCTTCTCCCACACCCCATCTTATCAGGTTGTTGTCTGGGTTCCCAAATCAAAATAACATAAAGTATTTGAAAGTGCTTTTAAATTTTTTGTAATACTATGTAATTTACACTTTACAAATTATTAATTTAATGCAATTTTTAATTACAATTTAGGTAATGCATACTAAGTATTAATGGGAAGCCAATTTAAAGATCATGGAGGAATAAATTTTCCTTAAAGTTTAAAGATGACCACAGTACTTACAGTTTTCTCAACAACTCCAAAAAGCAGTGTGAAATGCAACAGAAAAAACTCACAGCCTCGTTGTCTCCTTTGCCATCACTGATTCCCCCAGAGCAGAGTTAATTCAACAGTAGGGTCAGTGCCCAATTCCCTGGATGTCTTTATCAGACAAGTGAAACCAAGTGCAATTAGTGCAAAAATAAAACTTGATCTTCAGAACTAAGGTTCATGTAGGAAGAAGACAAGGGAAAAGGAACTCAGTATTTGTTGAGAATCTACCAGATACCAAGTACTTTTTCACATTATTTCAATGAATCTTCATAACAATGAGGAGGGCACTTTATAGGTGAGAAAACTGAGACCCAGAGAGGTTAAATGATTTATCCAAGGTCACACAGTTACAAAACAACAGAGCAAGGATTCAGTCTATGATCCTTCTCCTAGGAGCACAACTGCCTTATTGGAAATCCAGACTAGGGTACCATGGATGATATCCTGGAAATGCAGCATCATTTGCTTATAGTGGCTCAAAACAGAGCAGAAATGTTGCTGCCCATATCCCTCAGGCAGAGTCATGGCTCTCACAACTCTGGGGAGCACCTTTCACTCTGTGCTCTATGCATCTGTGCTCCAGGGGTACCATCAACAACAATAAATGTCAAGGTGTCCCCTTAGAGTTGTGCCATGCAGCACAATGGCCTCATGCCATAACTTATGGATGGTTACCTGCACCACACCGATTCCACTGTCCACGTTGCCCACATTGAGCAGAACATTGCCACCATGAGACTCCCTGGATAGGACACCAGCGATCACTGCAGGATCTATGCAGTACTTTTGGCCAACGGTCTGTATCATGGGTTGATATGTCAGTAGGACTGGCATGTCTATTTCAGCCAGTCTTTCAGAAGCACGAACTCCTAAAGCAAACACAGAAGGAAAGAGGAGGCTTGGTGGGACTTACACTGAAATGGGAGACCACAAGGATAGGGAAAACAGACTCCAAAGATCTGGGCAGCAGTCTAGGACTAGAATGGCTGTATTTCAGAAATGTATTTTAGAAATCCCTAGTGGCCATTCCTAGACCTCAGATTATGATTCTCCTCTAAGTCTGAGCTGGCATCCTCTGAGACAGTGTCCTTTGGGGCTGCCAGTGCCCCTGGGCTGGGCTTGCAGGGGCTGCTCTGACCACCCTGGAAAATTCCATGGGCACAGACACCAGAGGCCCCATCCTAAGCACTCCAGAGTTAGCCAGTAAAATGTGCCTGCCCCTTAGCTATCAGTCCTCAGAAAGCTTCCCTGACAGGTTTGCTCACTCTTTTACCTACCTTTCCACATTTAAGTGTCTCCCAGGAATCATGTGAGCTCTAACTTTTATGAAATAATAAGACTGTCAGGCCGAATGAAAATCAATACTGATTCATCTGGCTGGTCCACTTACCTTCTCATGGTAAATTCTAAAAACCAAGAATTTTTATGGTTTTAAAAGCACTTTTATCTACATCATATCAACCAGCGTTTATGACACGGTAAAGTAAGTCCTGTTATTTGTCTTTCCACAGCAGCTCAGAGGAGCTCGACGTGTTGAAGAACCAGAGCCAGACCTCAGACAAGACCTTTGGGCTGTGCGCCTGGTGCTCTTCCCACCCTTGGGGAAGCTGTGGGAAACAGCAGGCTCCAAAAGGTTATGTCAAGAGGATCAGACTGGTGGGGAGGGGTGGGAGACATGGGTGCGGGGTATCAAGGAAAGGGTCAAAATCCTGCCAAAGCCACCTTTGCCACAGGAAGTCACTATTCGAGAGAAAGAGAAAGAAGGGGAGGGCAAGGTGGACGACAATTTTATAATTACCACAGAAGTTCAGGCCCTGAAGTCTTCCAGTCCCACAAGACGCCCCGGGGGTGTCAAAGGTTCGGATATTTCCATAGCATCCCCAGTTGCTGCTTTCAGATGAGTCTACAAATTGAGAAAATTTCAACCTAAGGCATTGAACTAGAATAGTTCTGATCATCCTTCTGTCCATGAAGGCAGAAGCATTAGGAAAAATAACTTGGCTAAAATAAAAAAACAACAATATCACTCTGAAATTGAAACACTTTTGAAATTCACAGTATTGTCACAAAGAAATTACCGTGCAAACCTCTCTGATACTACATTCTCACCTCCTACCCTGCAGACAGGAAGAACTGCTGCAACTGCTACAGCGTGCAAAGCTCTGGGGCTGTCCAGTGCTCTTGGGTCAGTGAGGTTACCCGTTCCCTGAAAACAAGTCTTCCTCTCATATTGTCTGTGACCTCTCCACACTTCAGCAGAGACTCCTGACTCACTGGTCTGGTGAGACATTTATGTTTGCTCTGGAGGAACACGTATGAAAGCTCCCTGGGATCTTACCGCAGACGCCAAGTGAAGGCGGTGCTCATAAACTGGGGCTTGGAGGTGGCTTCTCCTGTCCTCGGGTGCTCTTCCTACATGCGTGTCTGAGACAGCAAAGCCGGGTAGAACACGTGGTGAGGCCCGGGACCAGGGCTGCCCGGGCAGGGGGGGCGGGAGCTCCTTTTCTGCACTCACCCCTTTCTCTCTGTGCCCTCCATCTCTCTGCTTGCCTACTGGGCCATTCCAGTCACTGAAGGGGAGAAGTGGTCTCACTGTTTCACTACTGTGGGATTCCACAAAGGCCACGGAGGAGGCCGTCATTCTCAAGTCATTATAATTCACACCAGGAGGGTGGTTGAGCCAGTAACAAATACCTATGGTGGCAGAAAATTGCTGCTCAAGAGAAACATCACAAGCCCGAAGGACTTCTCATTAGATTATTCTTTTCTATTTATTTTATTATTTGACTGAAGTAGGTTATATAATCAAATCTTAATGATTTTCTGGTCTTTGTAAACATGTCTATTGCATATCATCATATGTGTACTGTATGCTTTTGTAAATGCATTTTAAGATTCTACTTTCTGAGAACCTCAGGTTAACATCTGAAAATACTAGTGTTTTGGAGTAAATACTTCTACTTTATTAACTTTTGATAAATAACCTGAGAGAAATGAAATGAAAGGACCTAGTTGTGTATGGGTATGCTAAAAATTAAATGAGCCAGGGTGTCCTTTTTTATTTTTTGATCAGTACTTTTATCTTTGTAATCGAATAGTAATTGGTCACTCTCAGTCCCTGTCCTCTAGCCTTTCTCTGACCATATTTTATGCTCCTCAGATTCCCCTATATTCCCAAAGTTCCTTTTAGGAGTTTTTAAATATTTCTTGAAAGAGTCGGTCAACGAATGGATGAGTTTAAAACCAACCTCATCTGACAAATTTTTAGACCATAGATCCAGGAAAATATTTGCGTCTCTTGAGAAACTAGCTTCTTCCTTTTATTTATCAAAAACCATATCCTTTCCCTTTTTGCCCCAACTACAAGAATCCTTAGGATGGAATCTGAAATTCAAGCATGGCAACTGTGTCTTGTTTGTGGTTATGTCCATGGTTAACTATATCAGTGGTCAACTAGTCACATCTCCTTGATCCCCTTGATGCTGGTTTCCTATCTGAATTACATTAGTCTTATTGTTACAGCAAGCCATCACAATCCTTCTATGGGAGTATCTAGTCTATTAATAAATTCAGTGAGTCCTTTTGATAAAAGAGTTTTTATAGAGGAACAATGCACAGTTATCAACGTTATCAATATTTAAAGTCTGCCTCAAGCAACATTGTTTGAAGCTTACCTTACAGTCTGGAGAACCACCCCAACTTTTGTGGGGTGTCCAGAAAGAGACTACTTGTCAGGTACTACTACTAACTCCAGTTTTTGTGGGACAGCTTAGGAGAAATAGAACATTTTATCATAACAGGATTATCCTTCTGTTCCTATGCTTATCCTTCCTACCTCCAAGATGACTTGAGAAAAATGAAATATACCCACCAATAAAGGCAAGGAGGCCCAGAAGCAGCCACAGAATAGACATACTGATGGTCTGGCGCTATGGGTCCTAAAATGATTAAAACAGAAATTAGTTCGAAGACGTGAAAATATCAGTCATCATCATAACAACATGTAATGTTCTATAAAAATGTGTAAAAAAAAGAAAGGAACAAGCTTCCCCATGTTTGGACTAAGAAAGGTAATTAATGGAATCAATGAAAAAAGTAAAAAGTATGTGCTCCATCCATCCTTTCCATTAGCATAAAAGTGACAAGATTCCTGCTCACCCACAGGGACTCACCACACTGTCCAGTTACCATAGGGTAATTATTTAAGAAACCAAGATATTTTGAATCTCGACTCTGAGGAGCTTAGTACCCTGACTCCAGATCCTGAAAAGCACATTTCTGATGCAAACACTTTATCCAAAAGGTTTTTTTTAATCAAAAGATAGTTCTCGAAGGAGAATATTTTTTCTTTAAAAAAAATATTTTTATTAAGGTACCATTGATATACAATTTTATGTAGATTTTCCATGAGCAACATATGGATACTACATTCACCCATATTATCAACTACCCCCACACATCCCATTGCAGTCATTGTCCATCAGCATAGTAAGATGCTATAGAGTCATTACTTGTCTTCTCTGTGCTACACTGCCTTCCCCGTGCACCCCACCTACATTATGTGTGTTAATCATAATGGCCTTTAATCCCCTCTCCCTCCCCCTCCCCACGTGCCATCCCAACCCCTCCCCTTTGGTAACTGCTAGTCCTCGAAGGAGAATTTTGTATTAGTGTTTCTCTTAGTTTGAGTTCTTTTTTTCTTCAGATTAGAGGAGTGGTTATACTTTCCTCTGTGCCTTGGAGCAAATTCTTTGCTTTGGATGGAGAAGCAGCTGGTGGATGGTTCCCACTGCTGTGACCTCCAAGCCTGGGAGTCTGACCCCCATGGCCATCTTGAGTCATGTTCCCATTCTCCCTCTGTAAAACTCCTGTGCAAGAAAAACCTGAGCAGAGCCCATGGGGGAAGGAGAGAGAGGCCATTCCCATCAGCAGTCAGATCCCCAGGACATCAGGGCATGGGCAGGTCCAGGATCGAGCTCATAAGGGGCCCGCTAGACCAGGAACTCACGACTTGTCACCACCAAGCACCTGCTATTCTAGTGGCTCTCATGTACTTTCTTTCTCACCCCAAGCATTCCTCTAATCACCTTCCATGTGTACAAAGGGCCCTGGTTCCCCAGCTAGCTACCAAACCAACACACTAGTGCCTCCTGGAGTAGTGGTCAGTTGACCCCAGGGAGCCCCACCTCCCTGCAGCCCCTTACACCATGGCATGGCCCAGCCCCTTCCCCTTGGGCCGCTGAGCCTGGCTACCTATCATTTACTCATGTTCCTAGCAGGAACGTGCATATAAAAATGGCACTAGACACTCTCCAGAACTCTTCTCATCTCTTTGGTTTTAAGGTTGTTCTGAGGGCTGCTTGCTTCCAGACACCCCGGGACAGATAATGTCTCCAGATGCAAGGGAAGTATTAAGGAAGTCATTTAAATTGAGTTTTCTCATACCAAGGGGTTTGCATGCCCCTCAGACACAGCCACACTCTTTGTTTCTCTTCCCTACAACATCGGAATGGTCTCCCTGACTCCCCTTAGTTGAGCAGCGAATGTTATGCTCAGTCCTAACACTGGAAAGAGACAGGAACTTGGATTCTCGCTGTGTCTGCAGAAACTCAGGTTCAGTCATGTAAAGGAATCATTTATTCACCCACTGAGACCCCAGCACTGGATGGGAGAGGACCCGCAGTCCCAGGAAAAAGAATGACATACGAGTCACTTAGGTACAGGAAAACTCAGTCTCGTGAAAGCTGATCTTACCAGAGGCTTCCCACTGCCTTTATGGAAAGAACTCTGCTGAAAAACACTGCTTGCATGCAGAGGCTAAACCCAGGGCATTTTACTGTTTTTGCTCCTTTTCCAAGGAACAAAAATACTTCCTTCTTGGAAACCCAAATGGAAGGACTTAGTTTTTATTGCCACATGAAAGCTGCCTCATTCTCCAGGCATGGAACTAAGTATCTGTTGAGCAAGCACTTGAATGAAAACAGCCCATGTAAATACACAAGGCAATTACTTAGAAGCACAGTTACTTTCTGTCATTTTTTTCAATTAGGTCAGGAAAGAGCAAGAAGTGACAATGGAAATAAATACAGCAAATTGAAGCAACCCAAACTCTGTGACCCAAAAGTACTCTAGAGAAGGGCTTATTGAAGCAACTGGGGTATGCTCAGGGAGTGTCTGTCAGTTACCTGTGACGCAACTGTTAATGCCCGTGTGGCTCTCTAAACTCCAAACTATTATTAGAATGTCAAGCCAACGCAGTCCCGCGCTCTTGAAGACGAGCCCAGTATCTGTGGTGTATCCCTCTTCTCCCTTCCTGGAGAGAAACGCCGTGATGAGCAGTACAGGGGTGTCAGCACGCTGGACAGCCGGCCTGCCGGGCACCCCGTCACGGCAAGGTCAAGTCCCTGGCAGCTCTACCCACCCTCTGTCCACTGAAGCCTTTGAAATTCCCAAAGCATTGTTTAGATTTATAAAGCATAGTGGACCGTTTCTTCCTCCCTTACACAATTTTTATAGAAAAGGTAGAAACAAAGGTCTTGGGTCTTTGTAGTTCTCTCCTGTAGACCTCCAGTGCCTTTTCCATGAAAGCTGCCCCAGATTTTGCCATCAACTACAGCCATCCCAGGTCCTTAGGGCCCTCCAGCCAGCCTGAAACGTGCTGTGTTAATCCCCTGCAGTGCTGGGAGGCAGAGGGGGCCTGCCCCATCGTGGCTGCTGCGTGATCCTGGAGCGAGAGAACTGCTCTGCACGTTTGCATCAGGTGGGCCTCCCGCTTCACTTTGTATCTTTGCTAACTCCTCTCTCCCTCCTGCTTGCTCCCTGTGGGCTGATGGCCTTTCCAGGAGCATCTTATCATTGTCTCATGCCTTCCTGCTGTCCTAGCCTTCCGTCCATCCTCACACACAGCCACACCCCAGCCCATTGCCTCGCAGACTGCTATGCGGCAACAGCCCTTAAACTAAAACAATAGCAATGACAGTCACAGAAATATAAAATGTTTCTGCCACTGGGATCATGTTTTCTTGAAAATATCTAACTTTTTAGAGTGAAATCTAAGGCTCCTTTTAAATTCACTCTGTGCAGAGCTGCATTTTCACATGGCCTGTGAAAATACACACACGCCAAATTTGGATAGCAAGCAATGAAGAGCTCAGAGGTTTGATTGTGAGCCTTCACTCTGCAAACGCTTTCCTTACCAAGAGAGACATAGAAGAGAGTTCCCTCTCTCCTCCCTCTGCCCATCTGGGATTCCCAGAGCTGAGAACTCCAGGAAAGTGCCTTTCCTGATGCTGGCGACTGTCCCAGGAACATCCTATTCTGAATGCAGAGCAAATCAAAGCCACCGTGGCCTCTCTGTCCCATCCAAGCCTCTTGGAGCTTGTCTTTCCTTTTCTCTGTCAAGCTTAAATTGATAGGCAGGTTGGCCTTAGTCTCAGCTTCTAGAACAAATATGACTGTTATAGGACCATCACTTAAAGTTTATGAGGTTAATGGAATCTTGGCGGGAGTGTGGGTGGAGAGATCACCATCTGGCAAAATACAAACACCTCATTCCATTCTTCTGCTTTGGATTCATAAAAAAAAAATCCCTTTTGGCCTATTACAGCTTCTGCTAAAAGCACATATATTTCTCTTCTCCTATGCTTTGTTTTGCCCATGCCCATAAATCCCAAAAGAACTACATACTTGCATTAAAAGAGACCTGAATTTTTATAAGTATCATAATGAATAGGAAAAAATTCATTCTATCATCTGCATAATCTTTTGTAACTTGGGGTTTCCTTACAAGGCCCTTAAGTTTTTTCTGACTCCAACCTCTCTTGTTTACTGAGCCCCAAAGATACTCATTATCAATCCACCACCATAGACTGGATTTTTCATTCTAAATAAGCCTAGACAGAAACTGTACCCCTCTGTCTTACACTCACCTGTCTTCAGTTAGCTCTTGTCCTTAGAGGCAGTCTGCCCACAATGCTTTATATAGAGTCCCTGTCCTTCTTCCTCTTTTAAAAAGTATTGACTTCATCCTATTATAAAAAGGTTTATGGCTAAGTCTTACAAATTATGGTAATAATCATAATAATTACAAATACTTTGAACTTATATGGGCCCTTTTATTCAAGCATGTCCTGGGACTTGACGAACATTAACCAATTAGTTCCTTACCTCACATTAGAGGGCAAAGCATAATAGGAGGTTTGCTTGGACACTTCCGGGTCCAACGCTTGTTTTTATTTGCACCAGTTTCTGGGAATGGAGTCAGGGAAGGAAGGAAGGACAGGAGGAAGGAGAGGAGGGAGGGAGGAAGGAGGAAAAGGGAGGGAGGAAGGGAGGATGGGAGGGAGGAAATTTAATTTGGAGTGTCGAGAATGTGTTCTAGGTCTGTATTGCTGGCAACAGAGCCACACCTTAGGCTGGATGATGCTCTTGTATATATATACATTTGTTACCTGTCTGGTTCCTAAATGTCTACCTCCATAAATACTTTGAGAGAGTTTATATGAAGTTTCCAGGAAGGACTCTTTGCCCCACATTGCCGAAGCATGAGTTTCTAACTAAAAGAGGGTGCCCCTCTATCACCACACCCTACATTCCAGCTTTTCTAAAGCACTTGGTTTCCCCCAACACAGCCCCATTATTTGCTCTGTACCTTTGTACAGGCTCTTCCCTCTGGCTGAAATGTCCTGAGGGATAGGGAGTGTGTCATTTGCTTCATAACCCCAACACCTAACACCTGCCTGACACATGAGATACTAAAGAAAACCCATGGAATAAATGTCTTGCTCAATGGCTGACTTGTTAATGACCCATCTCCCCTGCATCCCCTGCCTTCTTCCCTGACCCTGCTCAACCACAGCTAGAATGTAGCTCTGAGCAGGGAACTTGGCTGCTTCATTTATGATGATTCCTCTGACACATTGTAGGTGTTTGGTAAGTATA